TTGTTGCGTTCTCTGATGGCAATGAATTTCTTCCCAAGATTAGTTAGTTCCCATGTCCATCGCTCCATTCTAAACCCTACACACTTTCAGCTCTTTCATGTCTGACTGCACTTTAGTCCCGAAGAATACTTGGCTCTGAGCGATCATTTGTTCGAACACCTTGTTGTCGAGAAGAAAGAACCAAACGAAACTGAGATATAAATGCGTTCCCACACAAATTTCCGCTCTGGGTTCCAAGAAATGTGGTGAGGAAATATTTTTAAATATTTAAATAAAACCGCTTCCATTATAACAATATGGTAACAATACATTCAAGCGGTCAGAAGCTAATTAGTGTTCATAAATAAACGTTTCCCATGAAAGCTGCAGATTAACAGGCACAACAAAAAACCCGCACCCACTAAATATTTCGAGTGCGTCAACATACAACGGTTTTGCTTAGGTTACTCTCATGAAATTGTGCACAAAAACAAATTGGCACGAACTATACATAAGTAATGAGAAAGTTAAAAAAGCATATCAAGCTTTGATATCAACATGAGTGTGAAAACTTAGAAGATAACAACAATAGGAAGAGGTTAGAATGGGTACTTGATTTAAATTATTTAAATCATTGCTAACCGAAGGACTGCTTGCGTTTTCTCTTTCATGCTCCAGATTTTTACAAAGATATGACAGAAGTATTTATAAGTGATATTGCTATTAACATAAGTGTTAGAATAACAAGATATAATCACTACCTTTGAAACATTACCGGTATAACTATATTTTATGTAAAGCTTTACTAACCTAACTATTTTTCTCTATGTGAATATACCTTCCCGTATAAACAGTTAAAGATTATTCATTTATTTCTTGGTTCTGGGAACAGCCGAATTACTCTAAAACGAGAAGACTCCCAAAATTAATGCTTAGAATGGAGCACACTCAAAAATAGAGCCGCTTGCTCTCTCCCGCGCTCTTTTGGCGCCTTTGCTTTTTTTAAGCAGCTTCTGCGCAGGCGCGCCTGGGAACCAGTTTTGTGGTTCCAGCACTTTGTGTGTGTTGCCAACAAGGCGGCCCTTGTACATTCTGTGGGCCTGGAAAAAGGGGCAGCCAGACCCGTTCACAAACTGGCACAAAGCAATGAACTGTTGAATAAAACAAAACCGAAAACACGCCTGAGAATCTTTTCCGGTGCGTCCTCAAACATCAGCAACACCAGAACCATCAGAACGTTCAGAACCACTAGTACTGCCTTAACCACCAGATCCCACAATCTGAGCAAACACAGACTTTGGGAGAATAAACGCAGTCTGAGGGCGTTTCACAATGGAAAGGCTTTCAAAATAAGGTAAGGGCTATGAGTAATTATGAAAATTTTTATGAAACCGTATCAGGAAGTGACTTTACACTTTCAGGATGGCTTTAAGCTAGGCAGTTAATGTACAGTATGTTGAATGTTTTCTTCAGCACTTTATTAAACATACCTTCTTTTATTTTTTTTAATAGGAATAAACATATAAATTAAAATATATAGTAATTGGCGTTTTCTAGTATAAAAAAAGCTAACTCTTTTTTTTCGAATGTGCCATTTTGTTCATATATATTTTTGTTTATTTGTTGCGACCAACAACTTGTTATTTAGTATTGTCACAAGTAAATATTAAAACCACGCATTCTGACTCCAGTAATTGCATTCAGAACGCAACTGTTCCGTAATTTCCCACCTTAATTATTAGACAATTTGTGTCCGATTTCAGTGCGTTATGCCCATCGTATCGGTGTTGGTGTGACTCAATGCTAACAATGGATTGTGTTGTTGCTAGCAGTACGCTGCGTATGCAAATAGCGACAGATAAAACAGCACTACGTGATCAGCGCGATAAAGACAATCCAACAGACAGCATTGAACAACGCCCACAAATTTTGAAAATTTGTTTGCATCGAAATTTTTTGAAATAATATCAAGTAAAAGCGAAAGCGGCTGTTTCTTTTCAGTTTGATATTTTGTTTCTACCTGATTTTCTCATAGTTGCGGATTTTTCTGCAGTGGTAAATTCCCAAGGTAGCTGGCTAATCGATGCAGTCGCTGAAGACTGGCAACGTTGCAGCTAGAAACAAGAAAGAACAATATAGGTATTCGAACGAGCCGACTCGAATGCCACCCATTAATTCTCCAACATTCTATTTAAAGTTTCTTTTGTCCGTTCGATGGGTGTTTCAGTCCATTAAAGGTTTTCGGGCGAGTTAAAGGCGGAGATATGTAAAAAGAATCGTTTATGGTATCCCATCACAATATATAACCTGTATATTTGTTCTATGGCTAATACAGTTTCTGATATCCTGACGCCTCCTTCCCATGTTACATTTGTTTTTGAGAATACCACACCGCCCTCAGTCAGCTATTACTGAGTAATAAAAACCTCCTAACCTTTAGGGACTGGGGCAAATCAGTTCTTTTTTAGTTATACTCTGGCTATTTTTATAGAGCTGGCTAACGACTTGCACTAATGGGCAGCGTCAGGCAATGGTCGCGGTCGGTTGCGTAGGCCCACGGAGGCCGTGTCACGGCCGATTGCACTTTAACACTTGACCAGGCCAAAAGACCGGACACCGGAGAACGCGGGTGTGTCCCGCACACAATTTCCATTCTCGATTTCCATTTACAAGCGAGTGTATTTCCACAAAAACCCGCGGGGTCACGTGTTGTTATCGTTAACGCAATGCAGGTAGTTTTGGTTCATTTGTGTATTCCCTCCACTTTTCCTGCGTGTAGTGTACCTGCGCCGCGATTTTTCCCCAGAAAGTGATGGATTATATCTGCTTAGGGCGGAAATTCAAAGGAGAAGCAGACAGAAACCACTCTCGAAATGAAGATGACGCTGATGATCGTCGTTGTCGGTGTTTGGATTTTATGATGGAAGCTGCTATAAACCAGTTGGTGTGATGCATTTCAGGGATTTCCCAACCCAGAGATGGAAAACTTTTCTTTGTCTCTTTTCATTGGCAACCATAAAAGAAAGTCATTTCATAAATTCAACGATAAAAAGGGCACCCACAGTTTATTATTTCTTAGAAAGCCTAATATTTTTACTAACTGCTTACAAACGAACATATATATTTAATTTTAATATAATAATACTTATAATGTCATAGCAAAACAAATTGGTATTAAAATAACAGTTATGATATTAAGGTTGCATTAAAATATGTTGTAATTATATTATATATTTATTTTCTACGTTTATATATGTAAGGAAAATCCCCATGCCTTGAAATATAAATATGAGATTCCCGTGTTTTATGATGGAAGCTGTTGTATAAACCAGTTTCTCAAATGCATTTCAGGGATTTCCCTGTCACTCATATGGAAATTCCTTTTATTTACTTGTCTGTTATGGGTTTTTCATATAATTAGATGCTTCTAAAAGTGTATCCAAATATTTCTACACTTTTACCTATTAATAATTAAAGTGCGTATAATGTTTCACATTAAGGTGAAAGCATCTTGAAAAACTTGTTTCATGGTGCATTTTAGAGCCCTCCAAACATGGAATTGAAAAATTCTGTCTCTATCTGTGTTCCCCTTTTGTGTGTGTTTTCTTTATCAACATATCAACGGAATTGCGGTATTGCTGACGTTGAGCTGGCCGCGCTTTTGCAACTGTTGTACTTCACTTTCCGGCCAAAAGATAAGATTGCCAGTCACAACAGGCGGATGGTTGGCCGGTTGATATGTTGGTGCTTGGATTGTAAATAAATAAACCAAATTTTTGAGGTCGTTTTTGCACAATACGATACAAAAAGAGGGCCAACAATGCTAAGGCAGCAACACAGTTGGGACTCGGACAACATGTAACAGATAATTACACATAATGAGTCAGCAAGAGTTGTGAATCAATTATGATGATCACTATGCGATCGATTGCAAGCTACGAGCAAAGTTATGATCTTTTTAAAAACACACTGAAATCACAGGCAAGTAAGCTATTATTACCAAAAAGCATAAATCTATTAAAAAATGCGTGGATACTAATTTGTTACGTTATATATTATGTTATATTCAATTTAATGAGATTTTTAAAGTATCAAATCCATTACTAATTATTCATATTTTTAGGGTGTCCTACATGGGTATAGGCTTAACTATTATTTGATACTTAGTCAATAGTATTAAAATATATATACATATTCTAATAAAAGAATACAATTTTATCAACAATAAATTTATACGTAATCGAAGCTAATACATTTCACGTATAATGTTTATGCATTCCTTTTGCCTGTGAGATAAGAATGAACAACGCACAACCATCAAAATTAGAAATGAGTGGATAATTAACACAATCAAACTTCAGGTATACCAGCTTCATGAGTCACTTCTTGAAGGAAAACCCGTTCAACGAGTTTTTTTATGCCCGAAATCAATGGACTTTTCTTTAGACCAACATGACTTTTCCTTTGACCACATCCAAAATAAACAAATTTCCCAACACACACTTACGTGACCTGTTGCTCTTGTTTCGGAATGTGAGCTTTTGAAACATCAGCAAATCTTTAGTCTGAAGAATGCATGTTGTTCAGCAAATAACAAATTTACAGTCTTACTTCTAAAAATCGAACTACTTTTGTTGGGATTTTATTTTTTGTTTTTTGGGACAAAGAAAGAAAAGATTTCTCTAAATCGATCTTTAAATTTCTTAGAGCCAAAATACTTATTTTTAATTAGCCAAAATTGATTTTAAAAATTAAAGTTGTTATGGGAAATTTTTTTTTTATATAATATTAAAATTAGGAGAAAAATTGTTTATTTTTTTAATATTTTAGTTAAAAAAATTAAATTTTAAATAAAATATTAACTTGGAAAAATGGAATTTGAAATTAATGTTTAACGCCAGAAGTTTTACTGTTTGCAGAACAATGTAGCCTCTGAATATCCCTGGCTATTGCTCTCTCCCCATCATCTTTGTCTGTGTTTAAGGAGCAAAATGTCCTCGGCTCTCTCTTCGTTCTCTCACCTGTTGCTAAATAAATAAGTATGAAGAGCGGTATCCATTGAGGCGACGAATAAACTGAAATGGCGCGCTTGAGCAAATGCGACGTAATTTGAGCTGCGCTTTTCGTGCGGTCTCGACTTCTCGCTGTTGTTGTTGTTTCTGCTGATGCCGCTGTTGTCGTTGTAGCTGGCCGTTGTTTTTGTTGTGTCGGCGGTGACGCATTCGCGATTATAGCCATGATCGCTGATTTGTTGGCTTAAATCGTGTTTTCGTATTGGAAAGGGTTTCGTTTGGCTTGCTTTTGGCTATTTTTTTTATTCAGATGATACTCATTGAGCTTATTTTTGTTGTTAATTGCATTCTCCCTTTTCTCTCTCTCCTTTTCTTTCTGCTCCACGCACACACACACACGGACTCGGCACTTGGTTTAGAACAGGTTTTATTTAAGTTTTATTTCTTTTTTCGCTAGTTTATTATTTGCACACTTTCGCACGCGACACTTTCTAGCCTGAATTTGAATATTGAGCACAGAGATTTCGTTTGAGCCAACTAATTTGCCAATTCTTCCCAGGCCACAATTCTAGCCTACACACACACGCGCACACCGAAGAGTTGGCTTAAAAGAGAGGTGTGTTGTTGTTGCTGCCCTTTTGAACTGCAAGCAGCACACACACTCGCGCGCGCACACACATTGGCCGTAAACGGGGAAAAAAACGTTTCGAGCGGAGCGACCAAAAAACACGTCCGACACCAGCAAGATAGATTTTCGAAATCGTGGTAAGAAAATTTTTAGCGGCCCAAAGTAACATGCTGAGAGAGAGAAAAATAGAGAGAGCTCTGCTGAGAATAAATGAGCGAGGCAAAAGCAATAGGTTCTCTACATACAACTCAGTGCAACTGAGCAGTGCAGGTATACACATATAATGTGGGAGTCGTAAGAGCTACCGCTCTCGTAATGTCTCTCTCCTAAAACCGCACAGTGGAATAATTTTCATTTATTTGGGGTCAAAATCAAATACGAATAAAGATACCATTATTTCCTGAAATAAAATCAGACGATTTTTTTCAAAACAACAATAAGGTATTGAAAAATCGTATTGCTTCTACACCGGCTGCAGCTAAGCCAATTTTCAAAGAAATATATATTATTGAAAAATGTAGTTATATTCTTTGAACGTCGATATCAACAGATTCTTCCAATAGGGGAACATTTTTAAAAATCGTTTCCAAAAAGTTGTAATTTAAATCAAATGAATGATCGGTTATTTAAGCAAACATTTTGTATGGTAATTTATTTATATTTTCTAAAAGATAATTTTAGTCTACCATTGTGCTTTAAACGATCTAGTTTAGTGGGGACCTAAGCCTGTCAGTTTATATTCATTAAGTGGTGACACAAACAGAGGTGAATTTTGAAGTGTAAACATTGAAGCATGGGCAATATATTTAGAAAATATTTTCAAAACAAAAAAGGAAGCAAACTTCTGCAAGCCGAAATTTATATACCCTTGCAGTTACAAACAATAAAGCCATGTTGATTTTCCGCTTCATTTTGCTATTGGTTCTATGGCCGCGATACATACTATTGTTGTCCGATTTTGACAAAACTAAGAACGTAACTCTGATAGTAAATAATTACAATATCTCAAAAAAATATTTTGATAAATAAGAAACACAGCAAAATAATTTTTTTTTCATATTTTGTTTTTTCTATGGGAGCTATATGATATAGCTGGCCGATTTTAATTTAACAAAAAACCGTAATTCCGTAATATTTTAATATACCACAGAACAAATTAAAATTAAAAAAAAAACAAAGATATAATTTTCTAATTTTTTTTCCAATTGTTCCTATGGCAGCTATATGATATAGTCGGCCGATCCGGCTCGTTCCTACTTATATACTACCTGCAATAGAAAGACAACTTTTGGGAAAGTTTCAAGCAGATAGCTTTAAAACTGAGGGACTAGTTTGCGTAGAAACGAACGGACGGACAGACGGACAGACATACGGACATGGCTAGATCGACCCTCCTGGTGATGCTGATCAAGAATATATGTACTTTATAGGGACGGAAATGTCTGCACTGCGTTGCAAACTTTTGACTGAGGTAATCTATGATTTAAATTTAGCAATGACTCGATCCACATTCGATTTGAAATACATGGTGGTAGTCTTGGAAACTGATAGTACGTATATTTAATATTATAAGTATAGTGGAGAATATAAGTAAAAATAAAGGCTGGCAACGTCGGCAGTCGTGGGGGTCTGATTCGGTAAGGCCTGGGACCGCCTCCTACGCATTTTGGCGTATGCGGGGGATCGGGGCGAAACTTCTGAGGGGTCTAAAGCCGGTGGGCGAGGTCGTAAAACTGAGAAATTGGGGAAAAACTGCGAAAGTTCAACTTGACGGTCTGGCAGCACTGTATTTTGCACAAGGGTAACACGCGCTGTATTTGATCACTTTCCACGGAAAACTGATCGCTGCGACCTGCCCCCCACCCACGGCTCCACTCGACAGCACTTTTTTTTCGCGGAAAATGCGGCGGAACGGAGAATTTCGCGACACACAGATTTCAGGTCCAGGCAGTGTGACCACCTTTGGGTTTAACGCAAATATAGGCGCTTTCTGGCCACTTTCGCAAGGCGTTACGGAGCTTTCTCCGTTTTCTCCAAAAAGGTCATACAGTTTTGGCGCCGTTTTTTTAAGTTTTTTCTTGTTTTTAAGAGAATTAGTGAAGTAAAAATAAGTAGATAGGAGGCAAGCAATTGTTAATCTAAACACTCTGCCGCTTGTTCATTCTAAAAACAATATTGTAGTTTTTAAGCCAACTTTAAGGATTTGTTTCATTATTTCGTGATGCACCAGTCAAGAATATGTATATATAATTTTAAAATATAACTTAAGCTCTTTCATTCATTGGATTAAAAATTTTAATTGTCAACTACTTATGTATAATATTATATAAATTTAGTAATTAGTATATTATATACTTTCAAGACATGAAGTTCGCATTTATCGTTATAGTGATGTAGGCATTAAGTGGTTTGGCAAGAGCAGATTTGTTACTCGTCACACAAATATTAAGAGTGAAATTCGTGACATGTCCTTGTGTGTCGTACAATTAAAAATTCTATATTCTATGGAAAAAACTGTCCGGCTACCAACCATTCCTATTTAATATCACTGTTGACCATTGTCGCTACATGAATTATTCTTACATGGATATTAGCGTTGACAAAGCATAATAATAAAAAAAAATTAAAAACAAGAAAGGAAAGCTAACTTCGGGCGGAGCCGAAGTTGATGTACCCTTGCAGAATATTCTGTATATTATATTCTCCAAAATTATTCATATGATAATCATAATACTCATAAAACTTCCTAACTTTAAAAACACCAAAGTTATGGCATTTCCAATCGTTCAGTTATATGGCAGCTATAGGATATAGTCGGCCGATCCTTATGAAATTTGGTAGGTGGGATTGATTCCGGATTGTGCGGTTTAAGTCAGTCTGTTAACGAACTCCGATGGGTTAGAAGTCCTGTTCAACTTATTCTATCCGATTCTTGCTCTACTTTTGCTCATAGTCGTACTTAGACCCAGTGGTTTATTCCTATATTTAACTTTTCTTTTGTATATTTCTAAGAATAGTGTCTGACAAAAGTGCGTAGGTTTGACTGGGGACAAACTGTTTAAACAAATTAGTGCCAAAAATAAATAGCTAGTTCCAGTTATAACACGTGTATTTGTATACGAACAGATTTTAATATGTTGAAAAGCGACTTTGTTAATTTTTTGGATTTGTAGGTCTTTAAAGAAATTTGATAAACAAGCACACGCGTAACGATAAATGTATAAATACAGTGCGGTGCTTAGTCAGTCTTTTAACAAACTTCGAAGGCTAACTAGCCATGTTTAACATATTCCATCCGATTCTGAAATGGCTTTGCTTTTTCGTTATAGTCGTAATTGTGATTTTTAATCTCATAAATCAAGGTACCTATACTAGGTACCGGAAGTTCAGAGTTTGGGAAGTTAAAGCGAGTATATCAGACGATCCTTCCACTATGTCACCTCCTTTCATTAAAATTTCGAGCACACCTCTGCCCCGTTTCTTTGTGGAGACCGCCAAGTGCAAGATTCCTTATGTGAACCCCCTCGATCCGGAGGCTATGTTCCCTCCCGACCATTTCGAGGTCTGTTCCAACGAATCTGCTTTGGTGACCCCGATTTATGACATCAGTCGAAAGCGATATGTGCTGTTCATCAATAATACGATGGCCTCACTTTCTTCCAACTCCAGCGAGGTGGAGTTCAACTGCTATTATCAGGAGATCATGCGCAATACGAGCCGCGACAACTACTCCAAGTAAGTGTCAATTGCCGCCTTCAGATCTTCTTTATTGAGCATCATTATTGTTAATTGTGCTTTTGTAGGGTGGATCGAAAGTATTTTTCGCAGAACTACGAGGTGCCGCTGCATGTGCAGGGCTTGATTTTGGCCTGCCATCGTGTGGGGAACGATACGGACATCCTGCAGAGCGATGCATACTCCCTCATCCAATATAAGCCACTCCCCAAAGGACTCTCGAAGGAGCCGGCTAGACGGAAGCCCAGCGTCCTAATGTTCGGCATAGACACCCTGTCTCGGATAAACCTACGTCGAACCATGCCAAAGGTTTATAACTTCCTAACGGGCAGCGGTTGGTACGAGCTGCAGGGTTACAATAAGGTAAGTGAAAGGACTTATTATCAAGGGTTTATATTTTAACCTGAATGGTAGATAGGCGACAACACATTTCCCAATCTATTGGCCATCTTGACTGGCTATAATCCGGATTCAGCCTTGGAAAAGGTGTGCAACTGGCACGAGAGAGGGTGCATGGACCAGATCCCCTTTATTTGGAAGTATCTCCGGAATGCCAGCTATCTGACAGCCTATGCCGAGGATCAGACGGGCATGAGCACATTCAATTACGCAAAACCCGGTTTTGTAGAATCCCCCACCGACTATTACCTCAGGCCCTTCCAGAAGGCCTTCGAATCGGACCTAAATACCTGGAAATGCGAAAACTGCTCGATGAGGTACTGCATCGGCCGGCGGATCACGAGTAGCTACGTCTACGACATGGCCAGGGAGTTTGCCAGGCGATACCTGGACGAGCGTCCCATCTGGGGTCTGTTCTGGTCGAATAGTTTCAGCCACGACTGCTATCAGATGCCCGCCAAAATGGAGGACTATGTGCTGCAGTACCTGCTGGATTTCCAGGCGGATGGAGTGTTCGAACAGAGTATTATGGTGTTCCTCTCCGATCATGGAGCTCGGTGGGGAAAGCTCATGTCCTTGCCCACTGGTTTTCTGGAGGAGCGTCTGCCCTCGATGTTCATCTACTTGCCACCCTGGTTCCGGGCTCAATACCCGGAATATGCGAGTGCCTTGCAGGGAAATCGGAACCGCCTCACCTCCAACTACGATCTGCACAACACCCTGAAGCACATCATCGAACTGGGCAACGCTGCCGACAGCCCCAAGCTGCCCGGATCGGTCGACTGTCCCAAGTGCCAGTCCCTATTCTATCCCGTCGGCGAGTCGAGAACGTGTGAAGACGCCGGAATACCGGAGCACTACTGCACCTGCGTGCCCTACAAGAGACTCACGGCGGATTGGGCACGGCGCATTCCGCCCCGGGTGATCGGTCGGATAAACGAATATCTGGCCGGCAGGAATCTCAGCGGCATTTGCTCGGAGCTCACTCTGAAGCACATTCACAGGATAGAGATGAAAATTGGACTGGAACACAATTTTAACGGTGACCTGCCCATGGCAGATGTGAATACCTATCGTATTAAGTTCAAGGTGAACCAGAACACTGCCGTATTCCAAGCCACCGTTCAGTACAATAATGTTACGGAGTCTGTGGAGGTCTCGGTGCCCACCATAAGTCGGCTCGATCGTTACAAATATGTTTCAACGTGTGTCGACGACAAAATCGATAAGATGTATTGCATTTGCAAAAGTGATCTTAAAAAAATGGCTAGTAAGGGCTGAGACTGATTATATTTGAATTCTTCGTAGGGTATTGCTTTAGAAATTAAATTCGTTATACGTTCGCTTGCGAAAATATTATGGAGAACAAACATTTTACTTGGGTGAATATTTGAATGGTTTGAACTTTCATAAGGATCGGTCGACTATATCCTATAGCCGCCATATAATTGATTGATCGGAAATGCCATAACTTTGGTGTTTTTAAAGTTGGGAAGTTGGGATTTTTTATGAGTATTAAGAATGCAACATATGAATAATTTTGGAGAATATAATTTACAGACTATTTTGCAAGGGTATATAAACTTCGGCTCCGCCCGAAGTTATCTTTTCATATGTTAATACATGATATACATATCCAATTTTAATTAATTAAAACCGTAATTCCATATTTTTTAAATATTACCAAATCCCAAAGAACAAAAAAGAAAGTTAAAAACAACAAAGTTATACTTTTTTAATGGTTTTGTCCCTATCGTTCCTATGTAAGCTATATTATATAGTCGCCCGATCCGGCTCGTTCCGACTTGTATACTACCTGCAATAGAAAGACAACTTTTGGGAAAGTTTCAACCAAATAGCTTTAAAACTGAAGGAGTAGTTTGCGTAGAAACTTACTGACGGACGGACAGACCAACATGGCTAAATCGACTCTCCTGGTGATGCTGATCAATAATACATATATTTTGTTGGGTCGGAAATGTCTTCCTCACAGCGTTGGAAACTTTTGACTGAAATTATAATACCCTCTGCAAGGGTAGAAAAACCCCAAATCTTAACAGTCCGAAATTCCACACTCTACTTACAAACTGGCGGAATGCATAAAGTATCCATAAATCAAGAAGCAAGCGGATAGCCAAGTGCGTACTTAATGTAAATGTAAACGCCTACAAAGCGCCGACTTATCGTTGCAAAACGAACTCAGCATAAACAGCACCAAATAGGTGAAACAAAAACGCCTACACCACAAGTCGTATATTTTTTGAGGTCTAGGTGACCCTATATAATGCCACTAAGGCAGGCTAGTAGTCACAGCAGTAGGAGAACTTGCCAAAATGGAAAAGTCGCAAAGTAAACCGCAGTTGTTCTTGCTCCTAGTTATTTTGGGCCTTTCTCTGGGAGATTCCATGCCCCTGGAAGATATGGACTCTCAGGAAATGATTGACCTGACAGATCTAGGGGATACCGTGTTTGGAAATCCGGATGAGGAAACCACAGGAGCTTTGGTCGAGGCTCACAATGAGGAATCATCACAGAACCCTGAGGAACTTGGCACCTATTACGAAGGTGATATATTGATCCCACTGAGTTACAGAAATGCCCGATCCAATGGCACGCGTAATGGCATCTTGGCGCTGAGTTCCCGCTGGCCGGGCGGCGTGGTGCCCTACGAGATCAAAGGTCCTTTTACAACTCAGGAATTGGGAAATATCAATAATGCTTTTAAGGTAAGTTTTAAAACATAAATATATCAATAAGCAAATATACTTTTTTTCAAGATACCATTTTGTTTAGTGGTATCCTACAAATTGCTGGATTTGTATTTGAATTTTTGGTAGTCCTTCAGACCTTAATTTAAATATTTATGAATTATGATAAACATCAAAATAAAGATTTATTTTAAATTATATAAACTCCCTTAGGAATACCACACCAGGACTTGCGTGCGCTTTAAGCCCAGGACAACAGAAAAGGATTACATATCGATTGGAAGTGGAAAGTCTGGATGTTGGAGCAGCATCGGACGCTTGGGTGGCCGCCAGGAGGTGAATCTGCAGTCGCCCACCTGTCTGCGAACATACGGGACTCCGATCCACGAGCTGATGCACGCCTTGGGCTTCTTCCACGAGCAGAATCGCCACGAGCGGGATTCCTATGTCCGGGTGATGAGCGACAACATTAAGCCGGAGATGATGGTCAATTTCGAGAAGTCCAGCTCCAGGACAGAGTCCGGATTCGGCGTGGAGTACGACTACGGCAGTGTGATGCACTACTCGGCCACCAGTTTCACCCGGAATGGCCAACCCACGTTGAAGGCGTTGAAGGCTACTTCTGATGCCAGCCAAATGGGCCAACGACGCGGCTTCTCCGCCGGAGATGTGCGCAAGATCAACGCCATGTACAAGTGCAAGAAGTAAATGAAATCTTAATGGCAATCCGATTCAAACTAACAGTATTTAAATAAAATAAATTATAATGCATACAAAAATTGTTGCTTTTTGTTATATTGTATCTGCCAATCCTACGCTAATTGAAAGATAGAAATTTGTTTGGAATAGACTTCCGGAGTTTTCTGGAGTATACTAATTTTATTTTTGAAATTCATGTTTATTTCAAATGAATTAGACAATAATGTTTAGCAACATAACCAAATTGGAATAAACAAAAAAAAACTAGTTACAAGAATAATAATTTTAAATGCAAACATTCTGCATTCTACCTTCAAATCGAGAAACAACTACGGAAATAAATCAAGCTGCATGAGATAGGCAAGTGCTTACTTTTTAAATTAAAATACCTGCCAAGCGTTGTCTTATCGTTTCAAAAATTTTTTAGTATAAATAGACACAAATAAATAAAAAACACAAACCATCTATTTTTGGAAGTCTAGTTAAGACTATATAATGTCAGTAAACTGGGCTTGTAATCACAGCAGTAGAATAACTTGCAAACATGGAGAAGTCGCAAAATAATACCCGGTTTTTCTGGCTCCTAGTTCTTCTGTTCATTTCTGTGGGAGTTTCCAGGCCCATGGAGGATCTTGACTCTCCGGAATTAATTGTCCTGACAGAACTGGCCGATGCTGTGTTTGGTTACCCGGATTATAAAATCACAGGAGCTTTGGTAGAAGCTTACAACGAGACGTGGCCTCAGAACCCTGAGGAATTGGGTACCTACTTCGAGGGTGATATATTGGTTCCATTGAGTTATAAAAGTGCCCGATTCAATGGAACCCGCAATGGCATGCGTATTACCAGTTACCGATGGAAGGGCGGAGTGGTGCCCTACAAGATCAATGGGAACTTCACACCGGAGCAGTTAAAAATTATCAATCATGCTTTTGAGGTAAATTTAAAAAAATGTTCATTACATCAATTATTGTTTAAGGTATTATTATAATCAAATGTCCTCTAAAAATGCGATTGTGTTTTGGAATAAAAACACAATTACATCAGACCCCATCTGTAATCATTTAAGATTGAACTATTTAAATTATTATTATACAAAATACCTTAAACCTCTTTCAGCAATACCACACCCGAACTTGCGTGCGTTTTAGGCCCAGGACAACCGAAAATGATTACATCTCGATTATAAATAGCGGATCTGGATGTTGGAGTTGCCTCGGACGTATTGGTGGCTGCCAGAAGGTGAATCTGCAGTCGGAATGTCTGTTAAATAACGGCACTACGATCCACGAGCTGATGCACGTTTTGGGCTTTGATCACGAGCATAATCGCCATGACCGAGATTCCTATATCCTGGTGGTGAACGACAATATTGAGCCTAAGAAGGAACATAACTTTGCTAAGGCCGATTCCAAGAAGCATTCCAGTTTCGGCGTGGAGTATGACTACAGCAGTGTGATGCACTACTCGTTATATGCCTTCTCCCGAAATAATGAGCCCACGATGGTGCCTTTACGCGACACTTCCAAAGTCGACAAGATTGGTAGTCGTGACGATTTATCCAAAGGTGATGTGATCAAGATTAACAAAATGTACGAGTGCAATATGATAAATAATAAAAAGTAAACTATCGAAATAAATATAAATATTTTAACATTAATGAGACCTTTTTTAATACTTATTCCTTTTTTGGGTGCTTAAATCATGTTTCATTTTTAGTTAAAACTTCTAGATCACGGTAGTTTACAATTCAACTCTGATTTACTGAAAAAAATATATCTATGGATACAATGTTTTGTTACATATTAAATATTCGCCTATGTGCGCCGTGCGTTGCACTGCTCCGGGGAAACGAGCGCCATCCTGTCCTAGTGGTGCGGCAGGTTTTTGTTTGTCTCGAAGAAGAAGTTGCCCTGCATGTTGAGCTCCTTGCAAAGTGTGGAGAATCGCCGGATGGCGTTGTAAGTGCCATCTTTCACGGAGAAATACAAAGCACAACAGAAAATACTATATTTACAGCAAAGGCCCGATTGCATGCATGGGGTGATTAGTAATCCTGGTGATCCGCTCCAGTTAGCGGATGGTTAGTGGGGACGCGCCTTTTGGATGGTGGCCTTACCTGGGCCCGCGAAACCGGCACTTGTCGCATTTAAATCCAGATTCATGTAGAGTGCCATATTCCCGGTGGATCCGTGGCGAGAGCGATTGTTCAAAAAATCTCGGATGTGCTGAACGATCAGATCGATGGCCACTGAAAAGAAGAGAAATTGCAATTAGTTAACAGTCAATTAATTAATATCAAATCGTAATGCTGCACCTTCGTAAGCATTGCAACTCAACGTGGAACTAGCCACTTACCTTGCTGCTCCTCCAGAGCTCCACCGATCCAAGCGGTCTTGTCTAAGCCAAAGACTTAATCTAGCTCTAGTTAGTAGGATCTATTACCTAGTCGCATCTAAGCTGGGCGGCATATTCTGTTAATTTTTACTCTATTGTGTCTTGTGCTTTACAATCTGCTGCTTGTGTACTTACTAAATGAAACAACGATTTATCTTCACGTCTTGCTAGGCAGTTGTCTGTCTTGCATTTGTATATTTGAGACTGCATTTAAGTTTTTATAGTACCCACGATTTGAGAAAGCTAAAGTCGCAAGAGCCGACTTTTTAGATGCCCGGTACTTAGGAAATGGAATCAGATAACCCTCCATGTTACTTTTTATGGAAATCCGTATTGCTTTTGGAACAATTGCTTACATTAACACGATATACTGCTAGAAGTAATTCTGACGATTTAACATGCTAACTCTAGAGGTATGACATTTATATAAATTGTTATATTTTCTGGCGAATAGGTTTTGAATTAAAATAAGTTTAAAAAGTGTGTTTTAAATAATTGGGCTGAAAATGTTTTTCATATTTAAACTCTAGAAAAGAGTTTATTATTTATCCGTTGGGCGATAATTATAGTTGTCAATATTTGAAAACTATGCAAAACGCTTTGAAAAAAAACAGTCAACAACTATTAGTCTTACTAAATGTTAAACTGTAACGGAAATTGAGCTTATAAAATTAATAGAGGTATCCCTAATACCATAGCATCCACAAACATACATTTGATTAGAGTAGTTAAAAAGTATCGGGCATCAAAACATAGATACAATAGTTAGATGTGTAACATGGTGTGGTTTGGTGAGTAGAGTGCTTAAAACCTTGTGATGTAGCCGGATCGGGGCTAGGCACCAGGTTAGACCCAGGGATAAATATTAACTTTAACATTTCGGTATAAAATAAGACCAGAGTTAGTCTGGGAACGCAATCGCAGGTTGGGTTAACTTAATGAACCGAAAAGAGCTTACAAATACACTACCATGTATGGTTGAACATATGCAAGTATATACTAAGATACTTTTTAATCTTAAGGCTACGATAATCGGTTAGGATGAGAAGACCAAATGAGAAGCGATGCCGGCGCTCATTAATGGACATTTGTCTTATTGTGCTGGAGCCTTGGTTTTCTTTATCTTGCATTATCTTTTGGGCTTTAGTTTTTGGCAATTAGTACAAGCTCAAGTCGCGGCGTTAGGACGGGGAAGTGGCCACCCCAGAAGCGAGTTTATATTTGCATTTAGTGATCTCGCTTCATGCTGGACGCCGCCACCCTGACTGTGTTGCTGTGCTGTGCGCTGTTGGTGGTGGCGAGAATCTCCCCGATATGGTGTACAATAAGATCAATGGCAACTGTAAGAAATACAATAAAACAACAGGAACAAAACGAAAAGAACGGAAAATCATAACGCAAGAGTTACAATTAACATAGATGAAGGAAAAACAAAGAGAGGGTAAAAATGTTGATAGGCATATAGTACTTATATGTATGTAAACATCAAGCAGTCTATGTGATAAGAATTTTCTGTCTTTCAGACGGGTTAATAGAACAAGAAACAAAAGAACCATTACTAAAGCTATGGTTATTGGGAACCAACTCAACGAAACACTACAAACGCTTAGTGTGTAAAGAGTGTTTTATGTGGGCATAGAAAGTAAAAAGAAGTGGACAGGTGTCTGGGTGCTGCTGCCTCACCTGTGTTGTCAGCGCCTCGCGGTATAATAACGTCAGCAAACTTTTTCGTCTGAAAAGGGATGGGTTTATTAATAATAGTTTATGGCACATCGAATAAAGGCTCAACTTACGGGCGAGCAGAATTCCTCAAAGGCGGGTTTCACGAAAGTCATATACTGGGTAAGCACCGCGTCCAAGTCTCGGCCACGTTCGTTGATATCACGTGGCACTAACAAAAGGTTTAGAATACATTTACTTTGAATTAAGTGAAGTCACGACTTACCTCTTCTGGCCAATCTGGTATCGGAGTCTGTGTCCACGAATAGCTTCATGTGGAACAGGTCGCGAATTTTGGGAAAGTAGAAGACCAGGATGCCTTCAAATAAGACCACATCGGCCGGGTAGATAACCAGCATGTTTTCAAAGTCCCTAATGATTAAAGTAAACATTATAATTAAGTTAGATTAAACAAGCTGTGAAACCAATTTCTTGCACCTTGACTTTTCACATAGGGTTTTTTTTTTAGAGGGTCTACAATGTTTGGTTTTCTACAAACATACGTATTTAGATAGTTTCTATTAATCTTTATAAGCGGCTATCAGCTTTGATTAGAGTGACTGAGAATCTTTTAAAGTTTATAAACGGACTACAAAAAACGTGCTCATATGTACTGAAGCCTTACCTTAATGTTTTTAAGTTCTTTAACTAAGTGTGTACTAGCTTCCCTCAAAGACTAATGGACATTCCAACAAGCTGATACCCCAAAAAGTTGGAATCGAAGTGATGTTCCACATTCCCCAATAACTACTCACAGCGAATTGGTGCGGTAGTCGTAGCTGGGAATCTCCACCTTGTGGCCCTGCAGGATGTTCTGCAGAGTGCTGAACATGAGCTCCTCGTTAAAGGCATCCGGATGGTCAAAGTTGAAGAGACCCTTCTGCGCCTTGGCCTTTTCAGCGGCCGTCAGTTCGCGGTAGAAGCTGTCCTGGCTGATAGACACCACCTGGCGCTGCGTGTGATCCATTTCCGCCTGGCCCAGCTGCTCCATTATCTTCTTGCAGACCGTGGATTTGCCGCTGGCCGTTCCGCCGGCAACGCCAATCAGAAACGGAGACTTGACCTCATCGTTGGCTGGTCCGTCGCCGTTCGGAAGTCGCAGCGAGTCCGCTTTCCTCAAGTCCTGCATTTTTCTGGGAACCGCACCGTATAAAAAATGCCTCTTTTCACCCACGCAACAGCTGATGCGTTAGTGATGGGTAAACACTTCAGAAGTATTGGTATGTCGAAAAGTTCTTGGTGCGATAGTTGCGATAGTATACAGTAGTATTTTGTTCGTTAAATATACTATTTATTACTATTTTATAATCTAAAGTTAGGATACGTTCTAGTTTTAGTTGATATTTTAAAACAAAAAAGCTTAACAAGCTTTAATATATTAAATAAATTTGGGTCGATACCAAAAATATTTTTTAAATTTATGGAATTATAAATACCAAATAAATAAAACCAAAACAATAAATCATCGATATACCGGAAGTGCAGAGTTGCCCTCCCGCCAGAAAAAAAACGAAATGAACGTTACTTTTTATTAATTCATGATACTTTCAAAAGTTTAAAATAAGTTGTGAGTAGAAACCTTAAGCAATGAAATTACAATTTACAAGCATTGCAAAATCCCATACATACATACATATTGCTGACGCCTACGCGTTGAGATTTGAAAACAATTACCAACGCATTTAAATTGGAAATATTTGCACAGCTTGGCCTCTTGTTTCAGTGCCTGAGAATACTTTTTTATACGTGTATTTGCCCAGTAACTGTTTCTCTATTAGCAACCTGCTGACGGTCATATGTCAGTGTCTTTTCAAAGCCCAACCATGAAGGGTGCTTCAGATCTCAGCCCCAGGAGATGGATTTACTGGCTATTCCAAATTGGCTTTATAAATACTGGACTTAATTCCTGCCAGGCAGTACCCATTGTCGGAGGTCGGATCGTGTCAACCGTGGGCAGTATATTTCTAAATACCCTTACTTTGACCACTAACTGAAAGGCCTCGAATTCCATTTAAAGGCGGGACTAGTAAATATCCGTTCATGGTCTCATTGCAAGATGTAGTTACGGGAAATGTAACAATCGGTGTTTCCTATCAGCACTTTTGCGGTGGCAGCCTATTAAATGATCGTTGGATTCTGTCTGCAGCTCACTGCGTTTGGAGGAAGTAAGTTTGGGGTCAGTGAAGGATTTACTATTTTACTAATATATTCTATATTTAGAAACATTCACAAAATTGCTGCCTTTATTGGCTATGAAAATATAGAAAACATTGGGCAGCTGGAACCATATGGTCTGGAAAGCGCCGAGTATATTTACTTCCAACCGTGAGTAAACAGTTGAGTCAAGTTTAATACTCCTCTCTAAGAGAGATTTGGAAACTAAAAAACTTGCTCAGCAAGTTCAATGTCAAATGTTGGGGTATTTGGCTAAAATTTCAGTATGATTTAAATATTGTTTGATTATACGCTTAATAATTTTAAATGGTGTTTTTTTATATGCAGCTCAAACTTTCGGAATGATATAGCGTTGCTGTATATGAAACGTCGCTACTGGAGTGCCCTAAGTAATACCCTACAATTCGCCCAACTCCCTCCACAGGGCATGAAACCAGACCAAAACGGTAAATATCATTATTTCCCATATTGACTATATCATACTAGCCTTGCAGGGTGTTATAATTTGAGTTAAAAGTCAGCAACGCAGTAAAAGGCACATTTTCGACCAGTCGGAACGTAGGAAAATTAGCCTACCATTCTACCATAGAAATAATCAGGAAAACAAGGGAAATAAAATTATGACTTCGTTGTTTTTTAACACATATTCATATACTCGAAAATATAGTATTTTTAGTAATTGCAGTAATTCGGTCGGTTGGGGTCGATTTTTCGTAATTTTTATAGTGTTACCCCTTCCCTTCGAAAATTGGCTTTGCAGAAGAGTGACCTAAAACCTGCACTTCTCACCCCATAACTTTTCTCATAGACATCCGATTTCAAAGTGGCATACTTCTAAATGATTGTGGTTTAACCCTCTAAAAATCTGTGTTTTCAACTTGGTTCGTATTTTTGGGTCGATTTTTCGTCATTTTTATAGTGTTACTTACCCCTTTTCAAATGTTCGAAAAATGGCTGTTCAAAAAAATGACCAAAAACCTGCCTATAACTTTTCTTACAGACATCCGATTTTAAAGGGGCGTACTTTTATATGATTGTGGGTCGATTCTCTAAAAATCTGCGTTCAAATCTAAATTTATATGTTGTAGTCAATTTTTAGTCATTTAAAAATTTTCGAAAGAAAGATTTTCAAAAACTTACCTTTTTTTTTATTGTTTTCTTGTTTATTCTTAAATTCCATAGAATCCTGTCGGATAATTGGCTATGGAGCTACCCAACATGCTGGACCCTGTCAGAAGAAACTGTTTGAGGCTGAAGTGCGAGTGATTGATAATCAGAAGTGCCGGAATATAATAGGACACATCTGGGCGCCACAGAATGGAGCGAATACGGTGTGCGCCCTGGGCAACAATCAGGACTCTTGTCAGGGAGATTCGGGGTAATCCTTAGGTTACGATCCACAAACAACTTAATACTCAATTTACTATTTGGATTCATTAGCGGCCCCCTGATATGTCCTTATGGAGGCAAGGACTACATCTACGGCCTTGTGTCCCATGGACTGACTTGCGGCATCGAAGGTATGCCCAGCATCTATACGGTGACCAGACCCTACTACGATTGGGTCCAGCTGCTGGTGCAGTCCTAGATCTCTGGTGATCTCGTATAAATAGTATATTTATTATGCGATGTCAAACAGAACAGTTATGAATATATGTATACTTAAACAATGCAGGAATAGCACGGACTAATAACGAACTTAGGCTACGTTTTGATATATATCTAGAATTTTGTACTAGACTAACTAACATAACCATTTTCACCATTTGATTTATCAGCATGTCTTTCTGTATTTCTTAGAATTTTAACTTAAAAAACTGATCTTAACTTTTCACTTAAAATTGTTTTGTCCAAAGTCAGGTACTTAAATGTATTATTATGTTTCATCCATTTCTGAAAACTTCAAATGGAGAAAAACAGCCTGAGGTAAAGTAGTTTTTTGATTTTAAAAATTACATTTTTAAAAGTCTTTTAGAAAAAAAATGAAATAGGTTATTTCGTACACCTATTTAATTTAAAAAGGCCTTGTCTAAATTTCTGACAAATCAAGTCGTGAAAATGGGATTTAGCCTAGATGCGGGACAGTCTGCTGTCATCACTGCTTCTCGGGCTGCTCCGCCGGAGCGGAGGCCGGAGTGCTATCCACTTTGTCGGACAGCTTCCCCGTGGCCGTTTCCGGAAGTGTCAGGGTCAGCAGGCCAGCTACTAGAACGCAGATGCCGCAGATCGTTGTCGGAATGTACCAGCCCAGGGCTCCCAGGCAATCGACCACATATGGTGCCGAAATGGAGCCCACGTGGGCGAAGGTCGAGCAGGTTCCCAGGGCGGAGTTGCGGATCTGGGTGGGATACAGCTCGGCCGTGTAGAGGGTCACCACCGAGTAGGTGGCGCTGATGCCAAAGCGACCCAGCATGGCGAAGGCCACGATCCAGGTGGTACTGCCGCCGGGCACAGAGAGGACCAGCAGCAAGGACACTCCCGTCCACAGGAATAGGAACATGGTGGTGAGCCTACGACCCGTAAACCTGAGCATTATCACCGGCACCAGGTAGGAGGGTATGTCCACCAGCCCGGTTGCAATGATGTAGAGATACCTTGACACAGACAAATTGGCGGCATTCAGAGCTAAAAGAAAAAATTATAAAAAAATGCTGATTAAAGTCTTTCAGTCTTTCTTTTAATATCCTAACAAGCCTTATTACGCAAATCAACTTTGATTTTGTTAAAATATATAACGCTTATGATCCGAAATGGTGATTGCACTCTCTAATAGAAGGTGTATATCAAAGCAATATGAAATCAACATTTGTATTATTTCAGAGTTATAAAAGAATTTTTGGTTTGATTAAGATCTGAGAAATGAAATTTTCAGAATATCTAAAGCTTAAGAATACGCGGTTATATCAAACCAAATTTAAATCAAACCAGGTGTAAGATTCGTTATGTAAGATTAAACATTCCTCATAGTCCACTCACCCGTCACATAGTAACTCAGTGAAGTTACGCAGAACATGAAATACGAGGCGAAGATCATCTTGCGCACACTGGAGGTAGCGTACAACTCAATGATGGACTTTAGAGGACCATTCCGGAGCCTCTGACCCAGAGAGGAGCCCACTTCCGGCTCCAGCTGCAATGGTAAACGATTTAATGTGGTCTCAGCTTGGCAACCAGACATGATGGAAATATATGCATGTCTTGTGGAACTTTGCACTCACCGACTTCTTATCGGTGACGACTGGAGCACAGGCTGCAGTTGAGGGCTGAATTTGGTAGTGGCTCGGTTGTCTGAACAGAATCTTGTAGACGCGATCGTATCGTTGGTTCGTGATCAGCCAGCGTGGTGACTCATTCATCAAGCTAGTGGTGAAGTTATTATCTTTAGATTAGAAAACTTGAAAGTATACAAAGTGAGCTTACTAGCAGTTAAGTATGAGCAACAGCGAGGGAATAGTCAGGGCCAATTGCAGATGCCTCCACGGTTGGATGATGTAGCCAACCACCGCCAGGATGATCATGCCCACCGGATAGGAGGCTGAGAAGGCTATCGACATCCAGGAGCGATGCTTCAAGCAGATATTCTCGACAACTAAAAAATAAGTATGCAAATCAGAATAGATTGTTACTAATGAATCAGAACTAGTGATTAAAAAATATTACAGATCACTTAAAACCAACTTTTTCTGTCAATTTTAAGTAATTGTAATAATGGTTTTGCTGTGTTTTTTACTTAGATTTAAGCTTATTATGAGGTAAAGGACTCACTCATGGTGAAGGCAGGATAGAACAGTCCGGATGAGGCCGCTCCCAGGGCAAATCGTCCTGCCAGGAAGAGACTGTACCAGGGCGAGAAGGTGCAGAAGAAGCTGCCGACAATGAAAAAGGCAGCTCCCAGGGTAAACGAAGTTTTGCGACCAAATCTGCAAATATACCAGTTATCAGCCTTCAAAGAAAGGAACCCTTATCCCACTTACTTGTCCGCCAGAATGCCAAAGGAAAAGGAGCCACAGAACTTTCCCAGCGAAATGGAAACCTGTGCGGAAGTTCTCTGGATGCTCCTGTCACAGGTGAGATCCCAGTCCGCGACGAAGGTGCTTTCCGGATTGGCGAACACGTGTTGACCCTTCACCTTGCAGGACACCTCAGCCGGCTGAGCGATCTCCGACAGGTGGTTGGTGTAATTGAGTGCCGCCTCAAAGGACATCTTGGCCAGGTGGCCATAGTTCCAGTCCCACACCGTGCATCCTCCGGTCTTTAAGCCCTTCTCGGCAATCTCCCGCTTCTGGGTGAGTGTCCAGTTGGTATCCTGCAGGTCCGAGATGCCGCACCACTGATCATCGGGCAGGTGGCCCAGCAGTGTGTAGGAGGACACATGGAAGCCGTTTAGTATATTGGGCGTTACACAGAGGAAGAAAATGGCCCTGGGGGAGAAATGAAACAATAACTTATTTACCAATTAGGTACTGCTAATTGGGATTTTGTTTTCGCAGATACGACATCTAGTATCCGGACAAATTGTTTACAACACGCAACTCCAATCGGTCGCACATTGACACCGCTTGGCTAACTGCTCGTTGGAATGCAAATAATAACACCGATCAAAGCATCCGAGTAAAAACAAAGCTGTGAAGGTTTTTGGGCGATTCAATCGGCCTGGTTATGTATGCCGCTCACATAATCACTTAATGGCATTTAAAGATTCGCCAGAGCATATTTTGCGAACGGCAGTGTTGTCGTTAATCATTAAACAAATCGGGCAACCGGAACGCTGTGCGCAACATTTACATATCCGACTTTTTCACGTGACTCCCCCACCTGCCAGCACGTAGAGTTCCGCGAAGATCGTCAAAATTCAAGTCACTCCCAGTATTTTTGGGGGGTAAAGACTATATAGGACTTCCTCCAATGACTCAGTTGAATGACTTTAAGTGCTCGTGTCCTCCAGCCGGAGATCTCAGCAGATAGGATTCATTACATGGCCCATTCCCGATCTGGGTAATGAAACCGGTACTCGCCCGTCACGATCCCACATCGCCCGATTCCAATTCACAAGTGCCTTATCACTTACTTATTACTACACATATGTATATGTGCGCTGATATGCCAGATTTCCAGTCTATATTTAAATCTTATACCGGGCGATCGCTCACACGACCGTTGCCCCACGTTTGAAACCCAGCTGGGCGATTCTTCGATTCATGTCTAACATCAACACCAGGAAGGGGCTACCTACAATTAACACACTCCGAAAACATACCCTAACAAACTGTGGCAAAAACTTAATTGATTTTAGGTTTAATTGTGGTGAGTAGCTTGTGGTTTGGATGGTGCTCTAACTCATACTCACGATTCTGATTTTATTGCGCCCGATCAAGCGGAAAAACTAATTAAATCTGTTTAAACAATACCGCGGGTAGAAAAGTGCACTACCCTGACTAATGTCAACCATTTCTAAAAACTCAACCTTTAAAAGCTAGCGCACTACATTCATTATGAAGTGGGTCAAGTGGAACGTGATTCGAGTTGAGCTAAAAAACTGCTTCCTCAACTTTGAGCGAATTATGTCAGAAATATGATTCCTACTTTCCGCACTGAGTCAATGATCTGAATAAAATCGCTTAAGCCTAGATTGCAAGATTCTTGTTAATTCTGAACTAATGTTGAATGGTTACAAAATCCTAGCTTTTTTCCATTTTTATATGTTATTAATTTTTTTGTTTATATTTATATAAAAATTTAGATTTACAACTATTTTTCAAGGCAGTAAAGATTGAATCATATCATGGCAATTGATTTCTGTTATTTTTAACGAAAAACTTTTTAGAAGACAATCACCAGATAAATACCACAAAAGTTGGCAATTAATTAAAGAACAAGTTTCCCTATTAAAAAATGCTTAAAGTTTCTAACCCTTTATTTTTTTTAGTCTATATAAATTTAAGAATCCGAATTCCCATTAATCCTCGATTTATTAAGAATTTATCTCTAAAATATTGTTGTTTTAAATTTGTATTAAAATAAATTGTAAACTAATTATAAAACAATTTGAGCAATAACAGAAAGATAATTAAAGTTTTAAAGAGCATTTAGCAGATGAAAACGGCTTGGAGTCAATATTAATGTTTTCCTATTGGAGTTTTAATTTAGTATTTCCCCCAGTGTATCCACTTACCAAACAAATGCTCCACCGCTGCCCACGATATCCAGCTGTTTGGTGAGCAGATCCTTCATCCCCTCCTCGCTGATGAGCTCGCGACTCTTCTCCGGATTCTCCTTCGATTGAGTCATGTTGGCCAATGCAATATCACAGTATCAAAATTCGAATTCACGCCTTCGAAAACGCTGGTGATGATGGTGACCCCACGCACACGAATCTTGCAGATTGCAGTGAGGTTTCGTCTGTGACACTGAACTTGAATTCCTTAGCTGTGCAATCTATTTTTGATTTCGTGCAAAAACAGCGCTATGGATTTGGATTGTTTATTAAGATTCGGATCTGGCTTAGGCACCTAATCGAGGATCCGTTGGAGTGCATTCACTCCGAGAGGTGCAGATAAGACGTTCCGCCTTCGTCTGATATATTCACTTTCACTTTCGCCCTCGACTGCAGACCGTAATATTTAATTTTTTTTTGGGTTTCGATGTCGTTCCTGCAGTGGCTGTTTATCTATCGGCCAGTTCTATTTTCCCATTTCTCCTCGGGCTCGCTGTTTATGTTTTTTCAATTGGTAATGCAGCACATGGGAGCGCTTCGCTTTGACGGACGGCGACACGTTTTTATTGTCTGTTTTCAGTATTCGGTTGTTGTTTTCGAAAACAAAAATTTCCCTCAAGTTAAAATAAACATAAAAATGAAAAATATTTTCGGGGGGTATTCTTCTTTCTTTCTTTTTTTTTTGGTGCTGCAACGCGTGCAGTTGCGTTTTCCTGCCGATGTTTTCGCCGATGTTGCTATCAACTACTTGTCGCTTCGGAAGCGTCTCACAAACTAAGCCCACGGGAGGCCGATCGCCGCGTTTTGTATGCCGCTTTGCTGGGGGAGCCACGACAAGGGGGGAGGGGGGGGAGGGTAGCTGGGGCGGTACTAACATCGCACTCGGTCAGCGCCTCAGTACCGCCGCCCCTGCCGTCTGTGATTCACTCGGGATCGCTCGGCTCTTCCCGATCCAAATACTTAGGGGCATATTTATGCTGTTTCTTTTTCGGATTCGAGTGCAGGCATTAACAAAAAATATAATAAAAAAATTAATCACTGACATAGAGCGTCTGAAGAGAGATTCCTAGCAGACTGTCAAAAAGTGCGCACTCTACAAATAACCAAGGAAAGCTCTGATTTTTTGAGTTTGCTTGGGACTAATTGAATCATTTGAATACAGAACAATTACCGAATATGTGTGTATTTGTGGCAGCTGCTGTTGTCAAATTTCCAGAATTAGTATAAACGTATTATTAGATTTAAAGCGTATTATCTTTTTGCACCAAATATTTGATATTTAATTGCATTTTTCAACGAACCGTAGTCGAATTTGGTTTTTTGGGTGGCCCATCTATTGGAATTATATGTGTTTAGAGTTATATTCAATTATAATTTATTTATTCTATTACACTATAATTTTATGAACTGGGTGCACCAGCATTAAAAACCAATAAAAAATTGTTTATCCTAGCATTGCCTTCTTTTTTAAAACTTTTATTATTAAATCAAGTCATTTCCAAATTAGTAAAAATTTAACAAGATTAAAAATCAAGAATTTATTTGATAAATTAGTCATTATTTCCTAAAATTTCGGAACCAAGCGATAAAAAGTACCGACAAAGAACGTCTCTTGCTTGAGACTCCCCATTATAAATGCGTCAAACAACAAGAAAACATTTAAATACACTCCCGAACACTTGAACATATGGTTCTACCCTCTCTTTAGCAAATCCCTTACATTCCATTAAACTCGCGCTACCCGAACCTCATGATATATTTACATTAACAGGCCGTTTAATTCTGGTGTCTCTGAATTTCATTACAATTTTCCCATTTGCTTTGGTGATATTCGAGAGTTGGGTATTGTTTACATTTTTGTTTTCGAGTTGCGCTATTCGAAATTCCCAAAGAGCATTTGCTTGGAAAAGAGCCCATTTCTGAATGGGATTGTTGTATACAATGTAGAAAAATTGCCTTCTCATATTTTGATATTCTCTGGGCTGGCTTGTGAATGAATAGTAATAGAGTTTGTATTTAAACCAACATAAACCAGAACTCTGAATCGGGATGATTAAAACCGAACCAGATTTCTGCGCAGTGACCTTACAAAGTAATTCGATTAAGGTTAACCTGCGTTATCGGTGAACATCGAGAGTCCTCAACTCTGGCCAAGATCAATTGAACTCAATGAATCGATCGACGTCAGTATCTTAACTACTAACCCTGCGGGAAAAGATAGAGATTGACATTGAAGGGTGATGGTATGTGATGGGATGGGATTGTGGCACACATTCCTCATATTCCAATTATGGATTTCTTTGTTATCGCATTCTAATTTTAGCCTTGCCGCAATTGTTGTTCACTTGTTCGGCTTTATTCGGTTCCCAGGCGCATTCTATTCATCTGTGAAATTCGCTCGAGAGTTAGCCGTACTAACGGTTCTATCTACAGGCATTCTAGCCGTAATTAGAGCTTTATGTTCTAGCCTGTTCGCATGTTGTGATGCACATGGGCGTGCCTCCATTAACAATTCGATTGGGCTGGACCCCAGTATTATTTTGATTCGGCTTTCATTGTTTTCCGAACCCACGTGCAGTTTATTACGGATACGTATTATTCGTCAACGGGGTGGTGCCTTCGAGACTTACAGATACTTGCTTTTCTATATCATTTTATCCAAGCCTACGCTTTGGGGCCATCGGTCAATTCATGGAGTGCTAATCTAATAATAGTCAGCTCATCTACATAATCACCCAGAATTCTTTATAATGTAATAAGCTTTGTCATAAAAAGATACATGGCAATTTAAGGAGACGTCAAGCCTAATTTATAAATGGCACAGCAAAAAAAATTCTGTAAACATTGTAAAGTAAATATTTTCTTATCATACGTTTAGATTTTACTTATAGTTTATTGGTTTTCCCAAAAGGCCTTTTTCTGTTGTGTTACTTTTTTAATGTGCATATATAGGTCGACTGGAAGTAACATTTTATTATTTTAATTATTAATTTTTGTGAACTCTTTTAAGAAAACAAAATTTGTTTAGGTTTTGACAGTTATTAAACATAAAAGTTAATGTGTTTAAACTCTACGTGCTCTCAAAACAGCTCAGCGTTTATAAGGGTGTGACTCTTAAAAGTAATAAATCAAAATTAAATAAAACTAGGTATAAATGTATTTTATTTTTAATGTTTATAAATTTAATTTGTATATTTTTTCAAATCTTAAAAAAGTATCCTCTCCAAATTCAGAGGTCAACTAAATTATAATTATCTATATTATAAAGCAATCTAAACTATTTAATTGTGCCGGTAAATTCCTCTCGATAGCTTAGCCCAGACATGTTGTGGAAACCTTAGAGATGATAATTCCTACTTACAAAGACAGCACAATTTAGCCAGCCAGGCGTTGGCGAAGCTTAAGTGAATGATTGCCGACGAAACGAGCCGGGAATTGTGCACGAATTCGTACAAAATCCAGGCGTTGCTAAACTCAACGCACACTAAATTCAATGAGCGCGTTTAAAGCACGCTTGCAACTCGACCTCATGAACCGCGACTTAGTCCCAGACAAAAGCCCAGTCTAAGGCGTGGGTGACGACGACAAGGTCGCATTCAAAAAACCAACACTTTAATTTCAATGGGCACACATGTAATCCTCTAGGACGCGGATGCCCGGCCGTAGCCAAGATTCAGCAGCCAGATGAGACCGAGAACAAAGAAGCTGTAGAAGGTCACGTTGTAGAGATTGAGGCGACTGAGGAGACCCCTGAGTCTCCCAGTGCGAACCCCATCCGGGGTAGTCCTGTTCTGCCGCTCGTCGAGCATGTCCTTCCAGCTGACCACCTGGGGACGGACCACAAAGAGGGCATTCACCGCCGCCCGGACACCACTCTGCACCGCACCACCCATCAGGCTGCGATAGCTGGTGCCCACGGCCGAGGAACTGGACCAGATCACCCGATGCCAGGGCTTCGTTTGCGGCTTGTGCATGGCCACACTCAGCTCGTCGGTGGAGCACTGGCACTCCAGGGGCTGTCGCATCTCCTCCCCGAACTGCTCGGCCAGCGCATCCATCAGGTCCTCCAGGACATCGTCCTGCTCCTCCGGCGAGTGCAGCATGTAGCCACAAAAGGTGGACATTCGACACTCGTGTCCGCTGACCATCGGTTGCGAGCTGAGAAAGTTTCCGGAGTACCCGAGTTCCGCCCAAACGGATTTGCCATATCGCAGGTGGAACTGGGTGATCAGGCGGCGGGGATTGTGCCCAGATTTGGTGGCCAAAGGTGGCAGAAAAGCCTTCGGAATGCGGGGATCGAACTCCAGCTGCTGCACCTTGTTCCAGGGTATGGCCAGGATCACAGCCTGGGCCGTGTGCTTTTGCTCCCGCTCATCCGTCACCTGGACATAGTTCTTGAAGTGTTCCACTTTCACGGCTCTACAGTTCAGGGTTACGGTGGTGAACTGCATCTGCTCCAAAATGTTCTCGATCAGTTGCTGCGTGGAGACCTCATAAAAGCTGCTCGGGTGGGTGAAATAGCTAGGGATAAGGGGAGTAATTAATATTTAATAGGGTCAATTAATTCTATTAGTGAAAAAATAGCTAAGGGTGAGAAATAAATTAGTATTTGAAGGGGTACATTAAGTGCAGTGATGGGCAGATAAAACCGTACAGATCGTTGCGAACTAATCAATCAAAATCAGTTAACAGTAATACGTAAACAAATAATGGGAAAACGCTGAGGTGCAGTAATTGCAAGGCTGACACATACGTGACCTATTAAATATAACTATTTCCAGTAAGCAAATCAATCATTTTTTCAGAGGTAGATGCTCAATTAGGGTAACTTTAAGCAAATAATCTCATACATATTCTTAGTCAGGGCTGGGTTAAAGCTGCTTTCAGCTTAAAAATACTTTTTTTTTTACTTTTCACAAAATCTAAAAACTGTACAGGATATTTTATAGCTAGATTTTTAATTGTCATACTCTTTTACTTTTTAAATTTGAGTTTTGGGAGTGTTTGGGTTTTTTCTATAAATTGCATGGCAGAATTTAGAGTGTGTATTTGACGAGGTAATTCGTCTCAAGGCCAAATAGCACAGATAATAAAGTGCTTATCTGAATGCAAAGGCTTCACTTTTTGCCAAATTAAATTGTTTATTCTGTTTGACGCGCTGAATCTTAACTTATGTTAATGTTGGACACTCAGTTCTTATAAGCAATAAAGTTAAAAAAGAATAAAGTGTTTTAATTATAAAAAAAATTGGAAGTGGAAGCAAACTGTCAACAATTTTTGTATTTATTTGTTGTTCTTTTCCTAACGCTACAAATTCAAAAAATACTAATTATTTAGTTCGCTATACACAATGTGTTACATTAATGGACATCTCGAAGGCTTTAAATAAAAATACTCTGGTTAGAACAACACTTGTTACAATCTAGATTTTATTTATCTAAGATTTTACTCTTATTATCCATATTTTATTTTTTCTTTTAATTGTTTAATTTGTATTTTTAAGGTGTTTCTGTGTATCTTAGTTTAACTTGCGTGGTAGATTTTATGGCTTTCAATTAATGAGACCGATCAGAACAGATAATAAAGTGCTTCTCTGAATACGAAATTCAAACTTGTTGATAGTTCTAATTAATTGTTCTGATAGACGTGCTGAATCTAAACTTGCTAAACAGATTACTCCAAAATAAAATTAAATTATATGTGAAACCCAATAAATAGATAAATTAGTGTATATTATAAAAATCCGGAAGTGGAGGAAAACTGGTATTTAAATTTAAACTAATCTTTTAGTCTTAAAATAGTCTTAATTTCATTTGCTTCAATTAAGCATGTTTCTATTATTTTGTTTTAACTGAATAGGCAAGCCCATTATAATTTGAGTGATATTACCCCTTACAAGTCAATCAGCATTTTGAGGCCTCCACAAGAACTGCAAACGGACATGAAGACATCGTAGTCCACTTCATTGGCAGGAAGACCACATACTAGTTCCACCAGGTTGAGCATAAAGTTCCTCGACTTGTTAAAGAACAAATGGTGGCAGATATGCTGATCCATGTTGGACACTCGTTCTCGAAGGCTTTAAAAATAAACTTAAGTGGAAGTACAGGGAATAAAGTAACCTTAACCTACTTGAACCGCTTCGAGCGAAACTTTGGCATCCGTAAGTCCAACATTTCGATGTATCGTCCCAGTTCGAATTTGGCCGGCAGAGCGGTGAGTCCTCGATCCAGATCCCAGCACCTTCGCAACCTGTCATTGTCGCTCCTTCTCCGCCGGGGTGACAATTGGATGAGGGTTAAGAAGTCCAGCATGTCCTTCTGCTCGCCATCCACAAATCGGATCGCATTCTGACCCAGTTGGCCTCCCAATCTATCACTCGCCTCGATGATCCTCACCTTCAGGGTGCTTTCCTTGGTCTGGATTTTCAGGGCAGATGCCAGACCCGAAAGACCTGCTCCCACAATTAGTACGTCTAGTTCCGGAGTCTGTGTGCCGAAGGGCAGATCCATTAAAGCATCGTTTTCACGCTGTAAAGCTGATAACCAATTTTAACTGACATTTTATTTGAAAAATGTGAAAGCTCCCGCCCAGATAGTTTGACATGCTCGGCACAGTTTGAGAGGATTAAACGCGAATGTGAGAGTATACTTTTGGGCTCCACTTTCAATACCTTGAACATTCTTATGTCGTTCAGGAGTAGATAAATTAACTCTAATTTAATTTTTATTGCTCTCTGTTTGTTTACGTTTGTGGGTATCTATTTATATCTATTCTGTTGGCTTGACATGACATATTCTGCAAACAAGAACACGCCACTTCTGCTACTCAAGATAAGTTTAATCAAAACTAAAAATCTTTATCTGCAAATCAGTCTAAGCTTGATAACCATGATAGCTATAACATTATATTTAAGAATGATTTTATAAATATTACAAAAAAATATATATTAAAATATTATGCCTAAACTTTCAAAGCTGTCCCTTAGGCTTAAATAAAGGTTTAGCTATATTTTTTTATTTCTTATTTCTTTATGAATAACTTTCCACTTAACATCTACAATCTATAATTCAATATTTAATTTAAATTATTTTAATAGTCTTATTTAAATATATATCCGATAATGCCATTTCCGATTCCAGTTATCTGATAGTTTCTTCAAGTTCATTGAACCATATGTGAAAGGCATTCAGATCTTTCTCTATGAAAACAAAAATGATATTACATACTTGAGCAGTCCCTTGAATGTGACCCAAACGAGGTTGTTTCCATATGCGTTCGTGGCTTTGAATTTCTTATCAATGACAACGTTGACAGTAATCAGTTTTATCTTTGCCACTGATATGTGGGACCTTCATTTGCTATAATTAGTACAAAATGAAAATAGAAACATCTGGTGGCGAGTCTTTCTACACCAAGCAAGTGCATTAGGAGCTTGCACTCAATGAGATTGGACAGTTTTTTATAATGATCGAATTATTATCGCCTCAGCGAGCGAGACGCGCCCCAATAAACAAAGTTGTCATAAAGTTCGTTGAACACTCTGAAAACACACAAGTCGCAATTTACATTGTCTTGTCTTTTATTAAATCGCTTGTAAAGGTAAACAAACAGAATTGAGAAATTGGAATGAATTGAAATCTGTCTAGAGGAATGAAAATGGGCAGAATGCTTAAATTCGTTTAAGTGATCTGGACGCGAGCCAATTGAGAACATCAGTTTGGATCGAGTCGAATGGCTTGCTCGCAATCCGGGCTCCAATTAGCTGGACTTTCCGTTGAGCATCCCGGCCAGCTCAGCGGAATCTTGAGGCGCCTTCTTCTTGCCGAAGTTCTCCCCATCTTCGATGGTCTCCGGCATGGGTTTGTTCAGAGTCTCCGGCAGAAGGAGCGACAGCAATCCGGCGGTGAGGGACAGGGCACCGCAGATGATCAGCGGCAGTGGTCGCCAGATCTCGCCCAGCAACTTGAGGTACGGCGCCAGGATGCCACCAACTCGAGCCACCATAGAGGAGGCACCCAGACCCACGTTCCTCACCACCGTCGGGAATTGTTCCGCCGAGAAGATGTATATTGTGCCGTAGGAGGCGGTGATGGCCATCTTTCCTATCATGGCGCAGGCGATGATCAGCCAGTTCATGTCACCAGGAACGAAGATGGTGGCCAACAGGCTGACCCCAGCAACCACCATGGTGCCGCACAAGATGGAGCGACGACCCCAGCGGTTGAGGGTGAAGAGGAGCAGCACATAGCCGGGAATCTCAACGCCTCCTGAGATCACAAAGTTAACCAGTTGATTACCGCCGAGGTTGTTTGTGTTCCAGGACAGTCCATAGTACACGCCACTGTTCACAAACCAATCGAAGAAGATCAACAGGGTTTTCCGGCGAAGATTGGGAAACCGGAGGAGATCGAATACGGTGGCCGCCGGCTGGGAAGCCGTCAGCTCATCCTGTTTCTTCTTTTCGGCCACCTCGTCCACCAGCTGCTCATAGATCTCATTGGGTATCTCCACCCGGTTCTCCTTGGCCGCCTTCTCGATGATCACAAAGGCCTCATCCTTGCGACCCTTGAGCAAGAGCCACCGGGCAGACTCCGGAATGATCCAGTAGTAGCAAATGAAGAGGAGTCCCGGCAGCGTCAGGGAAATCTGCAGCCAGCGCCAGTCGTGGATGAAGTAGGCAAAGCCAGCGGTGAGCATGAAGCCCACGGAGAAGAACATCTGCATGGCCACGCCGGCGAAGAGGCGATACGAGGAGCCCACCATCTCCAGGGCAATGACATAGGCCACCAGGAAGACTCCGGATGTGGTGGCACCCACAATAATGCGGGAAATGGTGTAGCTAACATACTCGGGAGCCACCGCAGCCAGCACGCCAAAGATCACCTGGAGCACCAGGGAGGCGAAGAAGGTGGGCTTGCGTCCCAGCTTATCGGACATCTGGCCAAAGATGAAGCTGCCGAGGAGCACGCCGACCATGAAGAGCGAATCACTGGTGGCACTCAGCAGACTCCTGCTGCACACCATGTCCCATTCGGTGACGGCACTGTTGAGGTACTTGCTCTGGTCGTAAACGTAGCTGGTGCAGCTCTTGGTTTTGTTTGTGCTCCGGGGCAGACTGCCATTGAGGTACTCCTCCGAGAACTCCACATCGTAGTAGGCGCACACCTCGCCCTGCGGATACGAGAGGTTCCACAGGTGGGGCGATAACTGATAGCTACTGCCATTCTCGTAGGGCAGGGCACATCGAAAGTCGGGCTTGGCCAGGAGGAATACCCCAGCCAGTTTGTGGAAGGCGCAGACAATGGCTGGCAGGCAGAGGAGGTAGTAGATCCGCTTCTGATACGGACCAAATTCACCCAGGTGGGTGATGACGTCGTCGTAGCCCATTTTAGTAGCAACACCTGTGATTTGGCGTTGTCAACGGCCGAGAATCGTACGATAACTGGCCAGCGGTTCAATGGTCGCGGCTCCGTAGGCGTATGCGCGATTTGTTAATGCGACGCGTTGCGTATACGCCCGGTGAACGTGAACCCGTTCGATTGTGCAACAATCTAGTTGGAAACGGAACCCGGTTGCAGCTGCAGCAGCCTCCAGCCAGCCAATCTCGGACTGAATCGATCTAGGAGCGCGCGATCAACCGCTCGCCAGCTGCATCAGTCTCGAACTGAAAACACAAAGAGCGTTGAGCGTTGAACGTTGAGCGTTAAGCGTTCCGAAGAACCAAAAACGCCCGCCTATCTCTGCCTGTGTGAGCGGTCCCATTCTGCCAGTGTGCGTGTGTGTGGGTAGTTCTGCTCTTTATTGCCGTTAGCCGTTCAACCCTGTGACCAATTTAGTGATCAGCGATCGGCGCGGTATCAATAGTTTCCATTTGGAAACAGGGATGAAAGGGGGTCAGGGTGCTGAAGCCCAATCACTTGGGCATCGTACGATATCGAGCAATTAGAGACACCATGAACATCTCCGCCGATCCGATTCTGGCCTGATTTTGAATTCCAAACTGTCTGCCGGCAAAACATAAATTCTTTTATCGCCCAGAACAGATCACAGTCAAGGTCTAAATAATAATAATTGCTATGTTCTAAAATAAGCTTAGATATCTTTTCTAACATTAACATTATTAATAAAGTATCATAGAAAGTTTGCAGCGATAAACAGAACTGAGTATTTTGTAATGCATTCTTTGAACTTTCGGACTCATCACATGTATTAAACAAACTGTTTGTAAACATACAAATTAATATTCCATTTTAAAATACTGTTAAAAAAAATAGTCACATTTAATTCATCAAATTAATTTAATATTGTTCAAATATACAAATAAAACGTAGATAATATTTTTACCGCGCCAGTATACACATATATGCGTTCCTTGCTTTGAATATATTTAATAAACGCTCTTTCAAACATTTATCAATGTTTAACTGTCTTTTTGTCTACTTCTCTTTACTGTATTTGCGTTTTCTATCTCAAATATTTGCAAGCCTGTTTCAACATTAATTGAAATATTTTAAAAACATATTGCAATGCACTCAATAATAGACCACCGCAAATAGACGACCCACTTTTCGGTCAGCCACGTAATATTATCAAGTGCAAAGTGCTCGGCGAGATGTAAATTATGCAAATCATATGCATTTGCCCCCAGAATCGGATGATTATGATTCGCATTTAAAGTTTATTTTGCTATTGTAGCAGAGCACATTGCCATCTCGTGATTAAAAATTCAAAGCGGGTCCACTTTTTAATGACAGTCTCGTGTTTTTTGGGCTGATAAGAAGCGGCTACAAAAATAAACAGCGGAAACACGTTCCAAGTGCCTCGTGTGGAAAGTCAGACAATTGGTCCGGGTTTACGCGAAGTCAATTGAGGGGCAATAGGAAATACATTTAATCTCTGAGGGAATACGACATTTTATTTCAAAATCATCTCCGTAGAATACACTTATATATGTAATTGCTAAATTAAAATTAAATAGATTTAGGAATATATTTTGCAGCGACTCGGGGTAGTAGGAATTTTTCTGTATTTTTCAGGTGATTTCCCAGGGAAAACCACCCCTAATCCTTGCAATTTTTACCCCTTGATAAGTTCACTGCTCCCTGGCTAAATGCTAACGTGGACATGATCTAATTGATTGATTCTTTTTTTTTGTCTTGTTGTCTTCTCTTTTTTGGTTGCGTTTGAGATTTCAGAAATGATATAATACTTGGTCTACTATTTTACGTTAAATGCCCAGCATTTGGCCTGGCCGAATTCTAGATGCCCTGTAACCTTTAGTTTCTAATTTCGTTACATTTCTATAAACGTTATATTGAGTTAGGTGAGATTGTACCTAGAACTTGTGGCCGTTGCTCTTGATTCCCTTTGTGTCAACCAATCCCTTGAGCGGCTGCGACTCCGGTGTCTGTAGCTGTTGGTGGCCCGTTTCCAGGTAGACATCACCCTTGGTCTTCTTTCCAAAGCTTTCTCCATCCGCAATGGTCTCCAACATGGGCTTGTTGTGCGTCTCCGGCAGCAAGAGGGTCAGCAATCCCGCAGTCAGCGAGAAAGATCCGCAGATCAACAGCGGCAGCGGTGCCCAAATGACGGCCAAATCCTTGAGGTAGGGCACCGCCATTCCGCTGATACGGGCCACCATCGAGGCGGCGCCCATGCCCACAGCCCGCACCACAGTTGGAAACTGTTCGGCGGAGAATAGGTATACGGTTCCGTACGAGGCGGTGATGGCCAGTTTGCCCAGCATGGCGCATGCCACAATGAGGCTGTGCATACTCACCGGAATGATGCCCGTGGCCAGGAGACTGAGTCCTGCCAGCACTAAGGAGCCGCACAGGATCGATCGCCTGCCCCAGCGATCTAGGGTCAGGAGCAGGAAGATATAGGCTGGTATTTCCACGGCTCCGGAGATCACGAAATTCAACAGCTCATTGCCACCCAGGGTGCTGGTGTTCCACGAGATACCGTAGTACACGCCACTGGTCACCAGCCAGTCAAAGAAAATGAGCAGCGTCTTCCTGCGGAGATTGGGGTAGCAGAAGAGATCCCACACGGAGGGTGGTGGCCCCTCATCTCGGTCCGGATCCTCCAGCTTCTGCTTGGCCTTCTCCACAGCAGCTTCGCCCTCATCCAGCAGGTCGCTCAAGGTCTCGTTGCTGATTTCCAATTTGTTGAAACGCGCCGCCCTCTGCATATTGGCTATGGCGCAATCTTTTCGGCCCTTCGAGAGCAGCCAGCGGACGGATTCCGGAATGATCCAGTAGTAGGACAGGAAGATGAGTCCCGGCAGGGTGAGGGCAATCTGCAGGTTACGCCAGTCGTGGACCAAATAGGCGAATAACGTCGACAGCATGTAGCCCACGGAGAAGAACATCATCACGAAGATTCCGGCATAGAGGCGCTTGTCGGGTCCCACCATCTCCATGGCGATCACGTAGGCCACCAGGAACACTCCGGACGTGGTGGCCCCCACCATCAGACGCGCCAGCGTGTAGGTGAAATACTCCGGCGCCACTCCTGCCACAACTCCGAACAGCACCTGGATGACCAGCGAGGCGAAGAGGATAGGCTTGCGCCCGTACTTGTCACTCAGTTGTCCGAACACAATGCTGCCCAGGAACACGCCAAACATGAAGACGTTTTCACTGATGGAGGTCATGAAGGCCCGGCCACAGACCAAATCCCATTCGGTGAGGGCACTGTTCAAGTACTTGCTCCGGTCGTACACGTAGCTGGAACAGCTCTTGGTTTCGTTTGTGGTCCGGGGCAGGCTGCCATTGAGGTACTCCTCCGAGTACTCCACATCGTAGTAGGCGCACACCCCGGATACTCCTTGGGGATACGAGAGGTTCCACAGGTGGGGCGGCAACTCGTAGCTACTGCCGTTCTCGAAGGGCAGAGCACACCGAAAGTCGGGCTTGGCCAGGAGGAACACCCCGGCCATCTTGTGAAAGGCCACTGGAATGGAGGTCAGACAGATGAGGAAGTAGATGATCTTCTGGTAGCGTCCGAATTCGCCCAGATGGACGATTGCCTCATCGTAGCCCATGGTGGAGGCCCTTCCTTAGATTCCGAATCCGAATTGCAAATGCCTTTCGCGCAGCTGTCTTCGTCGAGCGCTGCCGGTACAATGAATCACTAAATCGGAACAGCTATGCTTTTTGGCACTATCTCGTGATGTCGAAACACCGAAAAACACTCAGCAGTTCCCGAGAACTAGACTGCCGAAATCGAGACTCTTTGCTGCGTTGACGTGTACTTTGCTCCCGGCGGTGGAGAATCTGCGACCAAGAGAGAGAGCCGGCGTACAATTCTCCGTCCCGGCAATTATCGGCCAACACGTGTTGCCAAAATTTCTTGGTCAGAGAGGAAGTGAAGCCGGTGCGGAACTGGACAGCGGCAGTGGCAGTGGCAGTGGCACTCCGTTAACAATGCGTCACCTTTGGCCAACGAAACCGAACTAAACACTAGGCACCAAAGCCCAATATACCCAATGCAATGCCTCACTCAGACCGACAGGGCCAACAAACGCTTATGGGCTGTGTATACCCGACCCGCTCTGGTACTCGGATATATATCCGAGTGTTTATGCTGGCGAAACAGAAGAAAGGCAAACAAATGTCGGCTGCATGCGCACTCTCCGCAAAGAGAGAGAGCCGGGAGAGCGGTTCTCTAATACCACGATAATACCGCCAGTCACTCCAGTTCGCTTCTGGGACAGGAGGAGGTGGAGAAGGGGGATGAGGGACTTTAACTGCGACTGGGACTGAGCCACCCCTAGGCGTGTTGGTAGCAAATTACACGGCGATCCCAACCATTTGCAGGAAAACCATCTACCAATTTCATCTACCATTTGCACAGCCGTTTGAAGGCAGGTAAGTGGAAATTCGAACGCCACATTGTATGGCCATACGTCAATCAGGCGATCACTCAAAAGGTCTGGCGCTCTCTCCTCTTCCAATTGAGTCGCGCTCCGAAAGACAATTAAGCGAATCTCACAAAAAGCAAGAAAAGCGCTGAGCTCGAGGGTCACGACTTGAATATACTCAGTAATTGCATTAAACAAAAAAGGGGGTACATTTTTGTAGGAATCTAAAAACAATGACAAGGATCCAATACCCTTAAAATTTAAACAACTTTAATAAAAATTCTCTAGCTGGACGATCACATTATTTCTTTTTCAAAAATTCCTTTCTAAGAAACAGTTCTAAAATATTAACTGTAAGAATTATTATTAATTTTTAAAAGAAATATTTAATTGTGACTAATATCACATTTACCATATATATAGTAGTTAAAACCCCTCAACGATAATAATCCATGACTCATATTGGGGATAACAAAAATACTTACAAAATATTTGACAGAGAACTTAAAAATATGCCATGGCAATACTGCACTTTAGGTCATAACCCCTAGGGTCATTATATCATTATTGCCTAAACTTTTAGATGTTCTCGGCTTTGGGAATTTAAGGCTTTCCTTACTCTCTAAAAGTGTATTAAACAAACATCGAGTTCTCGTTTTACAGTTCTTCTGAATATGTTTAATGGAAATTAAAGATACCCAAACACTCTACGAGTACCAACTATAAAAAACGCTCTCAATTGAGCTAAATTGGTAAGCGTAGCGCAGTCCCATTTATAGAGCGCAAAATCAAAGGCGAAAATCGTACCATACGACCATATTCATTAAAATTTTTAGATGAGACATCATCTTGCAAAGTGCAGGGTGAGCGGAACATTTGCTCAGCCGAATAGATCCAAGTTTTGGTAACTAAAAGAGTAATGGCAGTAAGTTCACTATTTAGTTGTGTAACCAACCCCACTTGGACTCCAATAGAACAGGGCAGGCGCTATTTCCTAATTTAGAGTTCTAGAGTTCAGTTTGTAGAACACTTAAGCTGTTTCCAGAGAGCGTGGCCGATCCAAAGACGGGGAAATACAGTCAGGCAACCTTTTTTTACGTCATTCAATTGCAAACAAAATTGCGTTTTATATCGAATTTAGATTAACTACACATGGGTTTAAACTTTATTGGGTATCATTGATTTTACCTAGAATATATTTAACTAATCAGAGTTTCAATTAGGATTTTTAGGCAGCGAACTTTATATCTAAAAAAAAATAAAATACTTTGTAATATTTTTTTAAAACACCATGCATGATAATGAGTAAAGAGACTTACTGTGATTTAAAAAGGTTCCAAGCCTAAACCTGCCAAGAGTGGGAAAAGTTAAAGTTCATTACTTCCAAAGGTTTGAATATACTTTATGGGCCAAAAGTAGACTACCTCTTTTTAAGTTTGCACCTTTCTAGAGTTATTCTTTCCTTTGAAGAGTGTTGCCTTTAAGAGTACATTTTATAATGATATGAAAGACATTTTAGAGTGAAATGTGCTGACCAGAGGCGGTCCTCTTTGGAAGACTACTTGTTTTATTTAAATGATGATTCCTCCATAATAGTTACAGTTCCGAAGTCCTTGATGGGTTTCGCCTCAAGTCACTGTTTGGGCCTTTGGTTGCTCTCTTCCAGCCAGTGGAAGCCCCTTGTAGGGTCATCGAGGTAGGGTGCAATAGCTCCTGTTTCACAGAAACCCACCGGCAAGGAGGTGCCCAGAGCCGAATTTGTAAATACAGTGGGAAACTATTCAGCGGAGAAAATCAATAGGATTCCGTAAAAGGCAGTGATGGCCAGAACGCTCAGATAGAATGATATCAGTGCGGGCCACGTCAAATGTTCTGTAATGACCATCCTGTCTAGCAGGCTTATCCCAACCAGGACCCAACCGCTGCAGTCGATCGCCTGCCAAAGCGGCTTAAGGCCAGAAGTTCAAACATGATTTAAAATAAAAAATGTGGTTTATAAAAAAAGTATACAAACAAAATATAAAATTGGGTATTCTTGATTTAATTTAAATTGTTTTTTTTTAACTGTAGCATTCCTAAATTTGGAGTAGAGAAGAAAAACCGAACGGATTAGGGTCACAGCTTCTAGATAGTTTTAGTTTGCCCCATGGAAACATAATGAAAAAAATGTATTTATATAAAAACTACTTTGTAAAAATAAAATATACTCTTAAGTTTTTATTTTCAAAATAAAATGCTGGTAATCTTAATCCTCATAAAATACATATGGAATAAACTATTAATTAAATAAAATTTAAGAATGTAAAATTTATTTTCAAATACCGATTGCTATAAAATTAAGTCGAAGTTTTCATCGACTTATATCCAGGATTATATCGATACTTCGCAATTTCTTGCACCTCTATCGGTCAGCTGTTGCGCGCGTGAAAGAGACAAATGCTCTGACGGCGCTCTCTTAGTTCCGTACTTCGCTTTTTGAAATTCAAACAAAAGTGGTTTGTTTGTCGAAAGTCGGTTTTAGTTCGTCTCAAAATACACAACCCGACGGTTCGCGATACCAAACACAGAGATCATTCCGTCGGCGGATGATCGTCGCTATAATTTCAAATCCGAGCAGTTGAAACTCTGACAAACACAACACCCAGCTGAAAATACTTCAAGAGTTTTACAATTTTTCGGGAGTCACGTGTCGCGCGGGTTAGCAAATTTCAAGTTTCAAATTACTGGGCCCTCTGCGCCCCCACGCAAGGCGGTTATTCAAGAAAAACCCAACCAAAGGCCACGGAGTAGATCGATTCCAAGTGGGTGGCTCCTTCCTCAATGTCTGTGTGCGTCCCCGAATATCGAATCCTCAGTTACCAATAACACTCGCCCTGCGCGATCTGCAGCAATCCTAAGGTGAGTGTCCACCATGCCAGAGTATTGGGTTTGGGAAAACCCATTGGGAAACCCATTGCGAAGCTAGATTGTGAGTGCTCACCTGTGAAGGCGGATTTCATGCCTCCCTTTCTTTTATTTGACTTGCACTTGTTTGTCTGACATTGGCGAATTCTTATCCATTAAAATCGATTACCTATCCGTCGGTGGTGCAACTGGGCAATCGATTAGCGAAGACGGAAATGATTATACCCTAGCTAAGAGTAGTACGAATTTGGGTAGTCATTACAGAGAGATCTTAATACTAAGCATAATCGTAATCCGGATAGACTAGTACGTTTTAAACATAATACTTATTTGAATTTTTTGATACCTCTTATTTTTGTTTTATCTACGTATGTATGAATATAAAACTTGATTGTTGTTGGTATGTTATTTCCTGTTGAATAAGCTTTTAGAAGAAACCTTTTGGGTAAAGTTAGGCTCTTATATCCTAACCAAGTTTAAGGTTTTTTTAAATAAAACTCGATATTAATTTAAAGTCTAGTATTCTAGGCCTTACCATCACTCATAACGTAACTATATTTATGTATTATAGTTGGCTTTACAATATTAATTGTTTTGAAGGAAGAGAAGGTTCGAGGGCAAACGTGACCCTGAATCAAACAAAAAGAGAGCGCAGTCGCAACTGGAAATGTCACCACCAATTCTTACAATTCCCACAGCTGTCCTACCACATCCCGCACCCACACCCATCCACTCCATATGGAATACATACATACATGCACCCTGAAAACAGAGAAATGATTCTATTTATAGGCAGAGACAAGCAAAATGTTGCCCCATGTCAACGTCGCCTTCGTGGTTGTCGTTGTTGTTGAGTTTTTAAAGCAAACTCAAAGATAGATTTGTGTCCCGACCATTTTAATTGAGTGCGGAAATGAGCAAACATTTCTTGGAGCCCCCGTCCAGGGACACAAGTGTCGTCGTTCTCGCCGATCGACAGTCTGATTCTCCATTCGAAGCACATTTCGTTTATTTATGTGGAAAACCAGGGGAGAAGAGAAGGAGAAGGAGGAGGGCGGGATAAGGTCTCTTGGCGTCGACGCCGCTCCTTTGCGCATGCGTGTCCATGTTGGCAGATCCATAATTAAACGGGTTCGACAATACCCTTTCATGTGGCGAGGGTATTTGCTATTCTCGGGAGTGAGAAAGGGTACCTCTTTTCAAAAGGATCGGCTGTAAAAAAAAAAACAATGTTAATATGGGTGCTACATTTATTTAAAAGACACTATCAAATGTTGTTTACTACTTTTTAATAAATTTAACCATAAAGATTCCAAATAAGCCGCAAGTCTTGGTAATAATATGTATCTCAGATTTTTATACCACCTCACTCTATCATTTGTTTTTAAAGAATTTTTTTTATATTTCCTATCTTTTAATTCACAACGGAATTCGTGAAAACTTATGCATAGATAGACTCATTTTAGTCATTTTTATAGGTATCTGTGTATCATGGCACCTACAAATAATCACCTAAGGGTGTGTTTGATTCGACTTAATTCCATACCCTTCGCGGTCCGCTGAAGGTAGCCGTGCTAGCTGTCACTCAGCCCCCTCTTCCCCGGCAGGACCACCCCCTCGCCGATCGGGCGAACAAGGCCTAACACGCGCCACACAGCTGACAGGAACTCAGGATCACGATCCTGATATCCTGATGGC